TGATGGGAGTCAGTGTAGAGGGAGCTTTACTCTGTATCTAACCCTGTGCTGTCCCTGTCCTGGGAGTGTTTGATGGGGGACAGTGTAGAGGAAGCTTTACTCAGTATCTAACCCCGTGCTGTCCCTGTCCTGGGAGTGTTTGATGGGAGTCAGTGTAGAGGAAGCTTTACTGTGTATCTAACCCTGTGCTGGTAATGTTTGATGGGGGACAGTGTAGAGGAAGCTTTATTCTGTATCTGTCCCTGTCCTGGGAGAGTTTGTCCGATGATTTCTTCTGTTAAATTTTGGGAAGACTGGAGGCTTTGTTTTCAGTCCTTGACTTGAGCTCTGTTCACTGCTCACTGTTTCTGTTCCTGTGCTGCCCACATTTGAACACAAAATCATCTATTCACAACCCCTGGTGCCACATTTGCTCCCGAGGTTGGATTCCAATCTTATATTCACGCCGTCAGTGAATCCACCTGTTTCCACCTCCGGATCGTTGCGTGACATCAACCCCATCTCAACTTATCCACTGCTGAAACCCTCACGTATGCCTCCAGCACCTTTATACTTGGTTGTTCCAACTTGCTGCAGGCTGGTCTCCCACCTTCCACCCTCCTGCAGACTTGCCACCTAAAACTCTGCAGCCTGGGTTTTAGCTCTGATAAGGTTCTGTTTTCCGCCCCCCCTATCACTGCTGTGTTCGGTGACTGATGTGGGCCCCCAGTCTGACTTCGTTTAGAAAATTCATCCTTGTTTGCAAATCCTTTGCGGCCTAGCCGCACACTGTCTCTGCAGTCTCCATGTAACTGCTGTGCTGTCCTCTGTGAAGGTATCTCGATATGAAGCCTGAGATCACAGAATTGTTTCGGTGCAGATGCAGGCACGCGCCTTTTGACTATTTTCACTTAGTTCCAATATCCTACCTTTTCTTCCATCCCCTTGTACACTGTTTCAATGTAAATAATCTCCCAACTGGACCTGTTTCCACCGTACACGTCCAGGCAGTGTGTTCCAGATCCTAACTACTGGCTGCGTGAAAATCTTTTCTTCTCGCCTCACATCTGCTGCTCCTGCAAAAAGACTTTTCAGCTCAGCCCTCTGGTTCCCTTACGAGATTCCATTCTGTGCAGGCCACACCTGATTTTAAGAACTTCGATCAAATCGCTCCGCCTTCTCCCCGTCCAAGGAAAAACAGTCCCAGCTTCTCCCAATCTTTCCTCGTAACCAAACAGTCTCCTCTCTCAAATTGTTCTTATTAACCTCTTCTACAGTCTCCTGCCTGTACCATGGCACCCAGAAAGGAGCTAAATGTGTAGCAGGAACAAAGAAGGTTACCTCAGAGTACAACGGGACCTCGATCTGACGGGCCCGAAAGGTCCTGGGGAGTGTTGCTGAACAAAGAGACCTTGGGGTGTAGGTTCATAGCTCCTTGAAAGTGGAGTCACAGGTAGACAGGGTAGTGAAGGAGGCATTTGATATGCTTGCCTTTATTGGTCAGTGCATTGGGTATAGGAGTTGGGAGGTCATGTTGTGGGTGTGCAGGACATTGGTTAGGGCCACTTTTTGGAATATTACATTCAGTTCTGGTCTCCCTGCTATAGGAAAGATGTCGTGTAACTTGAAAAGGTCAGAAGAGATTCACAAGGATGTTGCAGGGATTGGAGGCTTTGAGCTATAGGCAGAGGCTGAAAAGGCTGGGGCTATTTTCCCTTCAGAATTGGAGGTTGAAGGGTGAGAGGTTTATAAAATCAGGAGGGGCATGGATAGGGTGAATAGACAAAGTCTTTTCCCCAGGGTAGGAGAGTCCAAAACTAGAAGGGCATTGATTTAAGATGAAAGGGGAAAGATATAAAAGGGAGCTGAGGGGGTAACTTTTTCATGCAGAGGTGGTGTGTGTATGGAATGAGCTGGGAAGTGATGGAGGCTGGTACAATTGTAACATTTAAAAGGCACCTGGATGGGTATATGAACAGGAAGGGTTTAGAGGGATGTGAGCCAAATGCTGGCAAATGGGTCTAGATTTATTTAGGATATCTGGTCAGCATGGACAAGTTGGACCTGTTTCCATGCTGTACAACTCTAACACTTGAGATATACTCAGGTCTCCCTGTCCCTGCACACCTTTTAGAATAGAACCCTTTATTTTATACTCTCTTTCAATGTTCCTTGTTCTGAAGTGCAGCACCTCACACTTCACTGCACTGAACTTCATCTGCCTCCTGTCCACCCACTCCACCAACGTGTCAACTTTTGGAGTTCCACACTGTCCACAATTCTTCCAAGTTTCCGGTCCTCTGTAAACCCTGAAATTTGTCCCCCACACGCCAAGCTGCAGATCATGTAGAGAATATGTCCAATTGAACCTTTCCCCTGACTGGGTTTCCTCCTCTGACACAATGTGCTGTCTTACAGGTAAAGACAGATGAGAAAAATTCATAGTCATAGAGAATGGAAACAGACCCTTCGGTCCAACCAGTCTGTGCTGACCAAATTCCCAAACTAAACTAGTCCCACCTGCCTGCTCCTGGCACATATCCCTCCAAAACCTTCCTATTCTTTTTAAATGTTGTAACTGTACCCACATCTACCACTTCCTCTGGCAGTTGATTCCACACACGAACCACTCTCTGTGTAAAAACGTTATTCCTTCAGTCCTGTTTAAATCTTTCTCCTCTCACCTTAAAAATATGCCCCTTAGTTTTGAAACTCCCCCACCCTGGGGAAAAAACCCTCGTCATTCACCCTATCTGTGCCCCTCATGATTTTATAAACTTCACTAAGGTCACCCCTCAATCTCCAATGGCCCAATGAAAAAAACGCCCCAGCCTCTCCATATAACTCAAACCCTCCATTCCCAACAGCATCCTGGTAAATTTTTTCTCATTCCCTCCAACTTAATAATATGCTTTCTATAACAGGGCAACCAGAACTGCACGCTGTTTTCCAGAAGAGGCCTCATCAATGTCCTGTACAACCTCAACATGACGTCCCAACTCCTTTACTCAAAGGTCTGAGCAATGAAGGCAAGCGTGCCAAACGGCTTCTTAACCATCCTGTCTGTATGTGACACAAACTTCAAAGAATTATGTGCCTGAACCCCAAGGTCTGTCTGTTCTACAGCACTACCCAGGGCCCTGTATAAGTCCTGTCTTTGTTCGTTTTCCCAAAATGCAATACCACGCATTTATCCAAATTAAACTCCAACTGCTCCTCCTCAGCCCATTGACCCAATTGATCAAAATCCCATTGTGATCTTGGATAACCTCTTTCAATGTCCACTATACCACCAGTTTTTGCAGAAATGTAATTTGACAGTGCCCAAACCACCATCTTTTCATAAGGAACCAGACGTTCAGCTACTGTCTTTCCCTTTGGTTCTATTCTATCTAACCTAACTCTGCTCTTGCCCTGTTGATGGCTGATCTTCTGCTGTCTTTGATTTGTTGTAGTCCCATGTACCTACGGACAGTGAAAAGCTTTGTTTTGCGAGCAGTGCAGGCAGATCATAGCAAACAAGGGCACACAGATCAGAGGGGACTTAGACAGAGGTTATGGCTGCGGAGGAGGTGCCCCAAAGCAAGATCAACATTAGCAAGATCAGCGTTATTTGAAGTTAGAGAGATCTGCTCAGCAGTGTAGTAACAGCGGGGAAGACGTTGTCCTTGAACCTGTTGGTGCATGTGTTCAAGTTTCAGCACCTTCAGCCTGACTGAAGAGGTTGGAAGAGAGTATTACTGGGGTGGGAGGGGTTTTTGATGATGTTGCCAGCCTTTCCGCAGCAACAAGATGTGTAAATGGTGTCTATGGATGGGAGCTTGGCTTCTGTGATGGTCGGGACTGTGCACGCAACTTGCTGTAGTTCCTTATGGTCCTGGGCAGAGCAGTTGGCGTATCATCCTGAACCTTTACAATGATCACTCTCTCCTAAGTGTTCCCCATCTTTCACTCGATCTCTTTGCCCACTTCATTTCCAAAGACCAGGCCCTGTCTTATTGGATTGGATGCAGACTGTGGTAGAAATTCCCCTGATCGCAATATAGGAACGCTTGTCCCTCAATGCCCTTCCACTCCCACTATCCCAGTCCAATCATGGGTAAATTAAAATCCATCATAATGATGACTTTATCACATTTATGCTTCACTGCAGCTTCCTTGCAGATTTGTTCCCGTGTGTCCTCCTCACCAGTTAATGATCTGTGTAGTGCTCGGAGCGATGGGATTGCATCTTGCTTATTCCTTCGCTCAGTTCTGTCCTCAAAATGACAAAAACGTCCTTTTTCTCCAGTGTTGCAACGCTCTCCTTAACCAGAAAAGCCACCCTTCTTCTTTTATTTCCTTTCTGAACCCCTTGTAACCAGGAATAGTCAACACATTGATCTATCCTTCCTGAAGACAGGTCTCTGTTATCGTCGCAATGTCATGATCACAATCTGTGCCTGGAACTCCCCAATCTCATTAACGATACTCGGTGCATTCACGTCACTACATTATAACCCTGATGTATTTTACTTTCTCTCTTAGTCCAATGTGTTACCTTAACTGCTTGGTTTTCTGTTTTGGTTTTACCTGACTCTCCCACTGTGGCGTCACTTTCTAGTATTCTCTGCTGACTCCCAAACGTCTTTTGAATCAATTTAAACTCTTTCCCCAACAGCGCTAGCAAAACTTTTCTTTTTATTCATTCACAGGATGTGGGCACCACTGGCCAGGCCAGCACTTATTACCCATCCCTAATTGCCCAGAGAGCAGTTAAATGTCAAACACATTGCTGTGGGTCTGGAGTCACATGTAGGTCAGACCAGGTAAGGATGGCCGTTTCCTTCCCTAAAGGACATTAGTGAACCAAATGGGATTTTCCTGACAATCAACAATGGATTCACGGTCATCATTAGACTCTTAATTCCAGATATTTATTGAATTCATATTCCACCATCTG